TCTGAAAAATTCAACCCGTTCGAAAATGCACCTTATTTTGACTCTAAAAACACGTCACATTTCCACAACAAATTATTTAAAACCGGTCGAAATTTTAGAGTTTTTACGGTACTGCAAATGATGTTTTTACACAATATTCCCTCTGGACAACCTAGTACTTTTTTTAGTTTGACCCCTTAACCAACAACCATATACAGTCTTATCAGTTTTTCACAAGAATCATAAAATGCTACAACTATGACAATTATCAAATTAACTTCTTCAAACATACCATGGGTAACAAATATTTTGCAGTAACAAAGCAATTTGATTATTAAATGACATTTTTTTTATCCGATTTGTAATTTTGCTAATTCAACAAAATATATTCTCACAATTAGATAGTTGGTAATTTAGCTAAATTAAGATTCAGTTAATTAATGCATGGAGTTAAATTCACTAAAATTGTATGCAGCTATTTGAGCTTGCTTTACATTACTATCACAGCAAATCAGATAGCATTTTTATTCTTTTAGGGCTTCTGCTACCCATTATCAAAGTCTGAATTTACCTCTTAATGGCTAAATACTGTACTGTATTACTTGTATATGGCAGGCCTGAAATTAACTACAAAACCATGACTTGTTGACCAGTTTGCTAAATATCTTTTCAACCTACAGAGGGCCATGCATAGCTAAGTAAGCAATGATTCGAGTTATTTTTGTATGTACATCACAACTAGATGGTAATTCACAAGTACATTTTTTTTTTCTCATTAAACCCTATTTATCGTTGAACCATCAACACCGGCGCAGGAAAATTAAAGCCAGACAAAATTATGCAGACCAAAAACGCTTAATTATCTGAACTATTGCAGATAAAAACAAATAAATGACTGCTTTTAGTGATCACATTTCAATTTTTTGCTACCTAAATGGGTTTTAAAATTCATGAACATTATCAGTCAATGTGTGAGCGAGTCAAATATAATCACATAGCCTATTGGTCAAAATGTAGCTCAAAAATAGTTTGTAATACATATACAAATGTAGCTGTATTCTGAAAGTGACCAAAGCCTCTACAAATAAATACCATGCTTGCTCTATTAATAGCACATAGCAATGATTAAAATAAGTCGCAATTATTAATAAATGTAATAGATGTCTTTTTAATAGAGTAGATATGGTACAGATAATTCACCAAATTTGTTATTTTTTGTTGGTAAGTGAAATTTACTAAATTCAATTATGTGAACATTTCAATAAAACTGGTTTCATTTGGAAATTCAATCACAAAACACATGAATATGATCAAATATCAAAATATTGAAATTAAATAAGAGTGAAAAATAATGCTTTTACACACTTTGATTGCTCAAAAGAACATGCCATGTTAAAAACCACAAACAACCATATTTAAAATTCAAGGACACTAACTTTACCAAACCTACAATGTATAGAGACAAATACAGCAATCAGACCAAACAGAAATCAGTCATAATAAACAATGATGGTAATTAAACTAAATGCGTCTATTATCTACATTTGAACTTGTTCTGACAGCTCTCGCTCAGAGGTCAAAGGAAATCTGACATTTAGTTACAATGACCCGCATTTTCAAATTATGTCTCCATTTCTAACACCAACTTCAAACCATTTTCCCTGACGAAACGTCTACGAACTTAACTGCAACTACTAATGTAGCCGAACTATACTAATACAGTTATCTAACTCAATTAACTTCAAAATGGGGTCAGGACAATTGGCAGATTCCAAAAACGCTATTGGACTAATACGCAAGGACCGTACAAATCCATAACCAACAGCTCAAGTAAAATACTTCAAAGTTGAGCCAACCATTCACGGAATGTTACTGGCAACGAATACGCGATCACATCCACTTGGCATGGAGATCAGTTCCTACACGCTGAACCGAAACGCAAGTTTGGAGAGTTTTTTTTGTGTCAACGACAACAATGCGAATGAATGGATCCCCAAAATGGCGTACATGATAATTTACAGAACCGATAGCGACAGTAAAGAAACACATTGGTTATACCGGCATAAATCGAAAAATTACCTAAGCGGTACAACAGAGAATGCGTTAAAATAGAAATACAGAACGATTTGCGACGAGAAGAATTTTCGACCCGAAAAACAATCCAGGAAGAAGAAAACGAAGCCGACTCGGCGTGGTTTTTATACGCCATGTCGCTAAGTAAACTTGTGCCATTGGCGGTGATATCTCTACGCACGATTCCACGATTAGCCATACTTACCCCAAAACAGACGATAAAGCTTTTGTGGATGTAAAAAAAATAATTTCTCATCGAATTAGTCGCGTAAATTTGATAGACCTGGTCTCTGTTTGTCAAATGCAGACAGCAGGCACATGCACTGTGCGCACAACTGGTATACTATTTAGTGTTCTGCGCATTCATAGCCCTGCAGTGCAGAGTGGGAAATCCGGAGAAAGAGATGTATTGTGGGATTCTTTTTCAACTAAGACTGACACACTTGTAGGGCTCATACCACTAATTGAATTTCCATAGACGACAATGTTAACATATGACGAGATTGCTATATGAAAATGACGAAGAAAGTTGAAAATATGGCTCAAAAATGGGAAATCAACATGCCAGTAATCAACCATATGAAAAAAACTAACATGTTGGCCATCTCAAACTCTTGCAAATCTCAGGTAAACAAGACACACCTACTGTATTTGGATTGCACCAAGAGAAATCACTGGAAAAACACCAAGATTAGAACATCCATTAACACACAGAATAAACCCACAGGTACACAGCCGCTAAGTAGTAAACAAAAGACCACATGTTGGTCTCACCTCTGACCCAGGTGATTACGCCCTCAAACAGGGAGCACCTGAGAAAAATAATATTTAAAAAATTTCATTGGTTCTTGCTGGGCATTTAAATTGCTACGAGCAGCCATTGGTTAATTAGTGGCATGAGACCTGTATAGTCTCTCGCTTCGTTATGAAAAAACATAAACGCACAACTCTAGTGTTTTTGAAACAACCAACGTGACTAAAACAAATAAATGATTTGATACAGACCAAATCTCCTGCTCTCATCTGCTGTGACATGATAACCACTCGAATCTGTATAAATGGGCACTATTGTAAGCCAAAAAAGTTTATTAAAAACTTGAAAAAGAGCGTAAATAACGTTTTTGGAAATTTATTTGGACACAACACGGTAGAATTAAACAAAAAAGTTAGGACGACCGTACTACAGTTATCATCCCGGGGGGACAATACATAGAACTTGCCTATTAATGGGGACGTGCCCCGGAAATGAGTCTCGTTTTTTGGGATTTTAGGTATAAGTATCGGTCTAATTTCTGGTCAAGATAGATATAAATATCGGTAATACTTGGTATTTTTCCGATTTGGTACTGTTGTTTCTAATTTTAACAACCTAAATAACCTGAACATTGTTTAAAGCGGGAAGATCGTTACCTGCGCACGCGCGGGAATTGAGTCCCAAGCGACGATAACAACACACGCTAAAAACGCAAAGGCTCATAGGTAGACGCTTGTTTGTAAACAATGACACGCTATGGCCGTCTGGCGCAAGCAAAGGTGACGACTCCCCCGCTTTAATAGTATGCTCTTATGGAAGTGGCAGAGGTGTTTCGATGGTCAAAATACATATTTTAATAAATCAATATACAATGCAACTGTTGGCTTACATGTGCTTCTATTGGAGATGCTCTTCTAATGGAGCAAATACTGTAACTGTTTTATTTCGAATAAACAGTGATGGTGTTTTGGTATAAATATAGGTATAGATTTTGCCAAAGACTGTCCCAGCTATGGTGATTACGAAATGTAGGGTTATAGCGGATTTCGCGTTAACACCTCCATTCGCTATTTTTTTATTTAGTTTAAAAAATTTAAAAGAAATAAATCGCCCAGACTGTGCCAGTCTAGTTTTGCTACTATCCAGTTATGAAAATGATCACACTTTTGAGCACTCAGGGGCACCTCCCTACCCAGCTATGTATCAACTGCTGGGTTATCAACACAGAGTTTGATTTACTACTATCGTTTAGACGCCCTCTATGTCTAATGTTGTTGATTTTTGAAAAGTTTTTCCCTATATCGGTTTGATTTTAAAGCGAGAATTGAGTCCCAAGCGGTGATAACAACCATAGACCTTTTATAAGGTATATTTAACAACGCACGCTAAAACGCAAAAGCTTATTGGTGACATGTGTTTGTAAACAATGACAGTTATGGCCATCTGACGCATGCGCAGGTAACGACTCCTCCGCTTTAAATCATGAGAACGAGTTTTGCCCTGGGGACCACTTGCATTAATAACCGCCGGCGGCTCCTTCGATACCTTCCAAACACCAACAAAATATTTAGTTAAAGCGTGGTGACTTCTCAGTTTGTACTAGTTGGTGTGCGCAAAAGTCAAAATCGCTTGTATGAGACCCATATCTCGCGCATGTCAT